TTGATCTTCTCTCTGACGAGCTCTCTAATTCGAGGCCGGTGCTCAATTGTGGCAGGCGCGGCAACTTTTGGCATTGCCGGCACGGAAAACTTTTGGGAAGTGGCTGGAATAATTTCCCAAACATTGCCTACGAGCTTTGCAGTTGCAGGAGGGCATTGAGTTGCCTCAAGCCGGGCCGGTGAAGATTTCTTCTTTTTGCTCTTGCTGCCAGATGATGATGCTGGCTTTTCCTCCTGCTCCTTGGCTGCTTTCTTTGCTTCTTCCTCGATGATCAACTTCCTATCTTGGGGTCCTAACATCTTCCACAGTTCTGAGTCGATCCCCTCCGGACGCTTTGAACCTTTGTAGTTACGTACAATCCGGTGACCATCCCAATGATGTCCATCTGGAATAATTTCACCTTTGGGGGTCAATTTGAGATCTGGAAATACGGGCGCTTCGGGTGCATCAGGCTCGACATCGCTGTCGGCTGGTAGAGGCGTTCCTGGCTCGTATTCGTACTCATCTTGTGGCGGATGCAAACTGGACTCAAGAGGCACAGCTTTGGGTGTCTTCGGAATGACCTGGTCCTCGAGGCGATCGGCTTTGGGTGCTTTCGAGTCAATCAGAGCTTTCAAAGGAAAGATGAAACCCTCGGATGGCAATTCCAACCTCTTTGTTCTTTGGATTGTCAGTGCACCCCAGTTGACATGATAATCTGCGGCTTCCAACTTGGCAACTAAGTATTCACCCTTCCAATCATGACCTGGTTGGATGTAATACCCAAGGAAAATTCCTTCATTTGCTGTTGGGGAGAGCTTACCTGATGTGTTATCCAACCTCTTGGGGTTATTCCAGAATAACACTTTGGCACCAAATGGAATGTGCATTGCAGGGAACTCTTCACCAAACCTGAGTTGCCATGGGGATTCACTGCCGTCAAGCTGGGGGCTTGCGTTGATCGCGGTCGCATGATGCTGCATGGCCAATGGCCATATCTTCAAAGGAAGTCCTGATTGCAACAAGTTGCTCCGGGCACCTTCCAACATCTGACGAACTTCGCGCTCAGCAAAAGACTTTGATGAATCTACATATTCAATAGAAGTCTGGTGTCTGTAACCCAAATCCTTGATGGCCCTGATCAATTCTGGGGAATTGTCAGTATACACAACTTGAACATCATCCTTTGATCCAATGAAGTGATTCAAACCATCAACACAGCTTTGTGAGTCCTTGGATTGGCTAGGGTAGACATACCGATATTGAGTGTGCAAATCTTTCAACACCAACGCAACTTGCTCCCCCCTGAAACCCTCTTCTACATTTTTCTTGATGATGACATGATCCCCAATGACGTGGTCACCAAACACTTCAGTTTCGATTCTCTTCTGACCACCTTTCTTTCGTGCCTGAGGTGCCATCATCCTTGCTCGTTGGCAAGTTCTGCAAAAGGGGTTCTTGGGGAAATGCGTGTACTGATGTTGGGTACTTGCAGCTTCAGCCAACAGATCCTCAGTCTTGCGGCTTCGGATGTACTCCTGCTGAGCATCATCCTCCACCAGCTCGTCCAATTGCTCTTCATCTTGGGCTTCGTCCCGCTTGGCTTTTGAGCTCGACCGTGAGGTCGGCATTGCAAACAACTTTTTGAGGTGCTTATCCTTTTGGAATTGATCTTTGGGATAAACCTTGCAACTATCATCCAAGATTGGGACGTGACCTTCGATCTTGAGCTGGACGACCTTGTCATCTGGACGGACTAAGATCGGTTTGCCGTTGGCAGGCCATACGAAACTGTAACCCTGATCTACACATCTCGTTCCTACGGAGAGCACAGCTGGGGTATGATCAAGTACATACGGATGCACAGGATCTGGCAATGCGGACAACTTGACATCAGCAACCTCATTGGCCTCAGTCGAACCGTTGGCTGTGACTAAGGAAATCGGATGCTCGGCTGCACGGCAGTTCTTGGCGCTAACATCCCTCAACATACCCTTGGACACAAGATCGGATTCGCTACCTGAGTCGACAAGCCAACTAACACCGGCCTTTGGCGCGGCTGTGGCAATTGACGGAAAACGACCAATGTCTTTAAGAGCTTTGGGACCGCTAATGAACCTGCACTCTTTGCATGTGATGTCACGTGTATCCTCATTCCAACAACAAAACCCACAACTAGGTGCAACATCTGAATCATGAAGTTTCACAGTTTCCTGAAGCTGTCTTGCACGAACCTGAGCCTCATGTTGTTCAACCTTGGATGAAACTGGAACGTCTTCAGCTGTCTTGTACACCTTAGTGAACTCTCTTGGACGGTGCTTGACTGGGACTTGATGACCAACTGCTTTCACCTCGATCACATGTGGGGTCTTTCGGAATCTAAGACGCTTCATGCTGACACTTGACTCATCAGAGCACGAAGTTGCCTTCGGCTGTTTTCGGACGATGCATGCAAACTTCTGGATCAGGCATGGAGCGGCTGTTGAATCCTTGCTCTTCTTCTTGGGAGCGGGTGAATTGGCCCTTTTGGTGTCTTTGGTGGCGGCAGCAGCTTTGTCATCATGCTTATAAAAACATTTGTCACCACGTCTGCACTTTCCCTGGGCATGATAGATACATGGGGTTTTGGCCATTTCTTCCTTGGACATTTTCTTCCCCTTATCATCTTTGTTGCCCCTTGATGGTGAACGTGTTTTGGTTCTTCTGGGTGATTGAGTTCGAGATTTGTCATCCTTGACATGCTTAAATGGACATTTCTTCCCCTTATCACAGGTACCCTTTTGGAACTTATAGCAAATCTTGTCACCTTTGCCACCTCGTTCCTGCGATCTACCACGACTTGGGGAGCCCTTTCGGCCACCGCGACCATCGCCTTTGGCGGGTGCGGCCTTCGTGTCCTTGATCCCAGCCTTGTTCTTCTCCGCGATGCGGTTCCTGTTCTCCCTTAATCGTTCACGATCGATCAAGTTCTTCATGGATTGGTGAAGAAAACTATAAGACTTTTCATGGGATTTCTCATGAGCACGGTCAAACATCTCGATGTCATATTTCAGCAACTGACTTGGTCGGATCTGCCTCAACAAGATGTCCCTTAACACAGCATCATCGGGGGTGACAGCCATGCCAGCTAGGGTAGCATCCCATTTGTTGATGAATCTTCGGAGATCCTGGACAGTATCGCCTACTTTGACAACACCCAAAAGATCTTCTACTCTGTAAAGGCTACCTGCTTCTTCTGATGTCTTGAAGTAGTCCTCAAACATGAGCAGAACATACCTTCCCCTGACCTGGATGCCTTTTCGGGATTGCTGCTCTTTGAAATTCAAGATCCTAGTTGCGAGGTCCCCTCCGGCTGAGCGTGTGAGCGCTGCTGATAACTTTGTATCCAGCGTGAGGAACTTCCCAGGATCTTGGAGTTTCTTCTCCAACTGCTCTCTGGTGCACTCTTGATCGTACACCTCATTGAGCCAGAGCCATGCCTCATCTGGGCGATCTGAGCAACTTTTCACTTCATCCCTGACATGATTCTTCCAAGTCCTATACGACTCCGGAGCGGGCATGTTGTTCAGCTTGATGATTTCGGCCTCCTTAGTTTTTGGCTTATCCTTTTCTTCCCTTTGGGTTAAGGCTTTTACCAATTCAATAAGATCTGAGGGACCCATCACTTGCTGTTGCTTGGTTACGCTCTTAGGAGAGTCATTTGGGGGAGTTTTGATAGCTTCAGTGGGAGTGAAAAACCCTGACTGCGTTGGCAATTGGGGCTGGTCGTTGCCGACAGCCGGTTTCTGTTTGGGACTGCCACCTTTGAGCAGCTCATCCAACTTGGCTTTTGCTTCTTGTGCCAACACTGCAGGCGTTTTCAACTCTTGGATCGGCTCATCACTGCCTTTGGCAGCCTGTGCATCGGATGCTCTAGGAGTGGCAATATTGAAGTGGGGCACGCTAGTGGTAGCGGCCGGCTCGGCATTCTGGACGGATGCTTTCGGAACGGAGGCATGCTGCGCTTTGGCAACATGCTTTAACTGCTCCTGAAGGTCATCGATTTGGTCCTGAAGGCTGAGATTCTGAGCCGCTGCCTCGTTGATCTTTCGGCCATCTCCTTCTTGTAGTTCTCGAATTCGGTCCTCAAACTGATGAACCTGGCCTGATCAATTGCAGCCTGATCTTCATATTGCTTCTTTGTGGCAGCTATGGCATTCTTTGCATGTTCAACTGTCTGTGCATAGGAAGCTTCGAATTCACTAGTGATACGTTGCCTTTCCTCTGCAATTTTCTGATCATGCTTTGTGTTTGCCTCTACCTTGAAATCCTCTACTCTTTTGTCATGCGATGCCTGAGCCTGATTTAACCTGACCTCTAACTCGTCGCCTCGTTTCCTTTCCTCGTTGACGGCACTGATGGCCTTACCTTCAACCTCCTGCAACCTTTGCTCATACTCCTGCTCTTGCATTACGAGCCTACTTGACCATTCGTTTCGAATTGAGTCAACTACTCCATGCATTATCTGAAGGTGCCTCTGTTCAGCTTCCCTCATGACTTGCAGGGTGTTCCCACTGGTGATTTGGGAAAGGTTGTTTTGTATGAAGGTGAAGTACGCTACAACGGGTTGGAACATTGTTTCGTCATCCATCGGCTCGGGGTTGCCCCCGGCCACATTGGGCACAGCGACAGCCGATGGACCTGACCCTGGAACGGCGAGAGATAGGTCAGTTGGGGTCCCCATAGCAAAGTAGTGAGACTACGGCTGATAACCTGTATTTTACAAGGTCAGCCACCAATATGTTACAACACTAATGGGGGCAAGTAACCGCTAAGCTGCTGGCACTGTTTTGAACCAACGCTACAGAGTAGTACGATGATATGTACACTACATGGTTTTACTGCAGGAGTTTTTACATGTTATTTCAATTTCCGAACGAATATCAGCATTTTGGCAAGTTGAACTCAATGATGACCAGCAATAAATCTGGGTGTTCCTCCATTTTATCAAAACCAGGCGGCATAGCCACTCGCCCTACGTATCAACCCTGCGCTGGCGGCTGGTGCTGCTGGAGGTGTCTTACCATGATAGAGATTACGTCTACGCCGAATCAAGAAAAAGGCGGTTAGTCCCTGCCCAAGAATATCTTTTGCTATCTGGGGTCTATGCTGGCGCCTGTGATTAGTGTTGTCCCCCCAACATCAAGAATAATTTATCCTGGCATCCACTATAATATGGGTAAAACAATAATAAACCATCCCCCAGTCATCGCCATTTTCATAGATGGTATAAACCATTCCCAGTCATGGGTGATTTATGGCATTGTTTTACCCACATTAATCAATATTAATCACTAACAATAGTGATTAATCCCACCTATTATGATATATATCCATATATATATATATCCCATGTTAACCATTATATCCCACTATTAATATTGGCGTTCCACCATTATAGATACAGTTTATCCACTACATCTTCTATATCCTGGGAAGCCCACCTCTTCATAGCCATTTCTTCTCGCGATCTCTCTGCTCACTTCCGCCAGCTCGCTATGCGCCTGGGGATAGCCATAGATGGGATGATTTTCCCACCGTGGATTAAATCATGGCTATGGGAAAACAATGATTTACCCTCTGGTAATTTAACGTAACTATGGAAAATCACCATTTTTAGTGGGAAAACTCACTATAAATGGCCATTTTCAATAGCTATGTTAAATTACCAGAGGGTAATTTCAAGTGTTTTTCCCACCATGGACCTTGAAGCAACAAAGCAACAACTTCTGGGGTTGTACCGAACGTCAAGGTAAGGTTTGGGCACCTCAGTGCATGAAGGGACCAACCATGCTCTACAAGATGGCCACCATGAGAGTGTAGATGTATCATGATGTATCCACCATAAATCCAATCGTTAGCGTATTAGGATGTATTAGGTATTCCTCAAAGATGTAAGTGTTTTTTTGCGAAACATGGGTACGTCTAGGGGTACCGTCTCATAGTTGTATTTTCCAGGCGATAGCAGTCGTTCCATTCCGACCACAGAGTCTAAATGCTGAATCTCTTTTCAATATTAGCAAGTATGCCCACCTCTCTCATCGGTGGTTTCCTATAGGGTTCTGGATGGCTAAATATGGTGAAATGAAATCAAATATCCGTTTAATTCAGTGCATAAATCACTTATATCATATCCCATAATTATAAGGGTTGCTCGGTTGCTCCCAACACCCCAGTTACAAGGGTTAATTGGATAAAGTAGCAAGTAAAATCACTCGTCCCACCCTTGTGGCCATTATTGACCAACACTTCTTCGGTATTGGGCCCATATTGTCCATGGTGAATGTTACCTGCCAATAGCTGGTTAGTACATATTTTATTTTCACCATTGATAGCAAAAGAGTAAAGCACTAAAGTTACATAAAGTGACCATCAACCATTGATATATTGATATATCTATATATAATATATTATCTCCATAGTAACCATCAGCAATCTAAACCATCAATATAAAGACTACCCTCTGGTTATTTAACATAGCCATGGTATAGATGGCCCATAGGAATAGAGGTTTTTGTTGATGATTTACCTATCAATAGCATGGTGATTCTCCAGTTCGCAAACCGTTAAATAACCAGAAATTAATCCATTTAACATTTGTTTACACTGCAATACTACACTGGAGTCATCTGTTATATCTTGTGAATAACATTCCATATTTTTACCAGTTATATATGTTACCAGTTATCCATGTTTTGTGAATAACATGCCATATTTTTACCATTGTTTTGTGAATAATTCATGGTTTTACATTGCATGTTTGTCCTATAACCAGTCGGTTGACCCATTTTTTGCAGAGGATGGAACCACCGCTGACCTCGATGGCAATGACCTTCTGCGCACCAGCCTGCACCAGGCTAATGGCGTTAGACATTTAATGATGGGTTGATATATGTCAATGGGAATTCCTGGATCCTAAAATGGGGGTACGTTAGTACCATATTTTTGTCCATATGTTGGGGGTATATCCCCAATTTAGGTTCCTGAAATGGCCATTGAATATGGTTTGATAGTTTAATGGGCTGATATGGATATACCGGAAATACCTAAACTCCCGAAAAAAAAAATGAAGAAACTCAATTAACTCAATTACAACACCATTCGAGTACATGTGCTCTTTGTTTCTGGGTCGATGGTCAAAGGGTTTCGTGCTGAGTTCCATGCACAGAGATCGGGGGAGATATCAGCAGAGCATAAATGTAGGAGACGGCAAAAAAAAGATAACGCAATAGGCAATAATACAACGGGAAAAAACAACAAAAATAACTGAAAAATGTAACCGCGATATAACGAAATATAGCAGCGTCATGTCTTCCTCTTCCTCTTCTTCTGCATCATCACTATACTCATTAGAATCATCATCTTCTTCTTCATCTTCATCTTCATCAACAACAGCAACAACAACATAAATATATACCCTCTGGTTATTTAACATAGCCGTGGAAAATGGCCCATAAAAATAGATGATTTCCCAGCTATAAACCTCCATTTATGGTTGGGATTTTCCAGTTCGCTATGTTAAGTAACCAGATGGTAGATATTATATTATAGGCATATACATATCATATAACCCCATTCCAGCTAATCAAATCCCATCGTCACTGTCAGATCAGCACGTCATCTGGCATCCCAGTCATGTCATCCCGAAACCTTCGCCGCGAAGAGGGAACAAAGGCCGAGGCCGGAGCACACCTCCGGCACGTGAAAACCACGGGGGGTCGGTTCGATGTTTCTTGGCACGTGAATCACCCAAAAATCAGGTCATTTTTCCATGGAAAACAGAGAGATTTGACCCGTGGGTTGATCCATCAGACCTGTTGAAATATTTTTGGATCTGTTGAAATATACCATGGTTAATAGTGATTAATAGTGGTTAATAGTGGTTATTAGTGATTAATACCTGATCTAATGAATAATATATCTGGTTGGTGGTTTCAACCTACCCCTCTGAAAAATGATGGAGTGAAAGTCAATGGGGTTGGGATGACATCCCATATATGAAATGGAAAATAATCCAGTCATGTTCCAAACCACCAATCAGTTTGGATCTGTTGAAAAAAAGAAACGGCTTCATTGGGATTCGACCCATAAAGCTGAACGGTTTTTGAAGCTGCTGAATGGGGATTTCTTCACATGATTGAACCATCAAACCCAAGGTGGGCTAGTGAAATAACCTCTGCTAATCAAACGCGGCAATGAACAATTCCCTATAAATGAGGTTTAATGGGAAAATCATGAAAATCATCTATATATATATATTCATATATATTAATATACATGGTGGATGATTTTCCCATTAAACCTCATTTATTTTATATATTAATGGCAATCATCTATATAATATATCTATACATGGTGGATGTTCCATTGCGACATTTGATTGCCCGAGGGTAACCATTTGAAGGTGATGTTCAATATCCCAAAGACCCCAAAGACGAGCGGTTCATGCCAAAACGGATGCTGCTTTTTGAAGCCAACGGATGCCCCCCTCCCCTCCCACTTTATGGTGATTTTACACCTTAGATTTACCACTCAACAGCCCTTCATTGTCATTTTGTTCATTGCACCTACAGTAATTTGGTGGTGTTCCCTCCATGTGTTTTGAAGACTTGGGCAAGCCCAAAACTCACCTTTTAGTGGCGTGTTTCAAGTGCAAAAACATGCCAAAACCAATGGTTTCTGGTGCCCCTTCCAGATGTTTGAGCAGAAACCAATTAACCTTCACCATTGACGATCATGGCCTGCTTGTTTTTGTTCATATTTCCATTCTGTCTGTCATCCCTTTGTACGTGTCGGTTGATAGGGGTTCCCATAATAAGCCATGATAATCCCAAGTAAACCAGGTTAAGAATCAAATCAACATGGCTTAACATAGGCATTAATCCATTAGTATCGCATAAATCAATATAAATCAACCATAGACAAGTTTGGTACGGTGGGAATTACTAACAAGTTTTACCATAGTCTTACCAGTTGTTATTCAACAGTCGCATCAACTGGTCACTCCTGTGGCGAAGAGTCTACGCCATGGCCATCCCTCGGGGCATCCCTGGCCAGGACGCCTCCAAGACCACCTTCCCCTGGAAGATGTGGGCATCTCAGCCAGCAGAACGAGGACCGGGGTGGCGTTGCGATGTGAGCTGTGGGATATCATTGAGATAAATGATGTATAAATGATGTGTATATCTATATATACACTAAATCAATACTATGATTAGTATTCAACTATTATCACTATTGTAATTGCTATTCTTATCATCTGACGTAGTAAATTGGGGTCAAACTTACCCAGAAAACTTACATGGGTTACAAGCAAGTTGCAGAAAAAGTTTTGATGGTAAAAATTATCCTGTCAATTTTCCTGCAAACAAACCCAACGGTCTGGATATGGGTCACTTCACAGTTCATCCTGGTACCCCGCTCTTCATATCATTTCATAGCTTGTGGAAACAATGTTCCTGTGTCTTGCCGGAAACGTGGCCATCACCACTCAGCAATCAGGGCTAGACGAATATCTCATATCTTGGACCAAAAATGAGGGTATAGAACCTGCGACCTAAAGAAAGGATTTCACCACCGGAAATGGTGATATGACTTGAAATGATATAACATGTACCATCTGGTTATGACTAACATAGCCATGGTATAGATGGCCCATTTATAGATGGTTCACCTATTAAAGATGGTGATTTTCCATGGCTATCTTAAATAACTAGAGGGTAACATGTAAATATATTGAAGGATAGGTGTATGCGGATCATGCAAACCGAGCATGGGGTTGTGAGGCACTAATTCTATGGAGAGTTCAGCCGCCAGTACTGATCCAACATGAGATCATTGTTCAAAATTGACCAGTTGGTGGATTGAAAACGCTAAAAAATGGATTCAAATGTGTTGAACTTGTTGCAATTTCTGCAATCACTTGAAATGATGATGGAAAGATGAAAAAAAATGCATCGTGATCCAACGAAAAATTGCCCATCCCGATCTCTGAGACGTGGTGAGATGTGCGGCGGTTCATCGCAATTCTTCGACTTTCCATGAATGACGACACATGATTTCCTGTGATTTCCTGCATTGTGTCCCAACTGAAACTGCTTGGTGGTTGAGCCCTACCCCTCTGAAAAATGATGGAGTTCGTCAGTTGGGATGATGACATTCCCAACTGAATGGAAAGTCATTCAAAATTCTATGGTTCCAGTCACCACCAACCAGTGATTATTAACCATTAACCATCACTAACCATCATTAACCATCATTAACCACTATTTTATTGGTATATAATCCCATTATGAAGATGATTATCCCAGTTTTCGTGTCCCAACTGAAACTGCTTGGTGGTTGAGCCCTACCCCATATAATAACCATATATTAACCATATATTACCAATCATTCACCAGCATTGTGTCCCAACTGACATAAAGATGTGCTCGGAATTGGCAGCCGCTCCGAGGCCAAAGGGACTCTGGGAGATCGCTTGTTGAAAGGCTGGGATGGTCACTCCATCCTGAAAGATGTCCTGAAGTCGGCGGGTGTGTGGCTTCGGTGATCCAAAAGTTTCATAGACTAACATAGCCATGGGAAATGGCCCATTTATAGATGGTTTACCTATTAATAGCATGGTGATTTTCCATTGCCATGTTAAATAACCAGATGGTACTGAATATATATCTGGTTGGTGGTGCAATAACCATGTTGAACAATGATGGAGTTCGTCAATGGGAAGGATGACATCCCATATATGATGGAAAATAAAATTCATGTTCCAAACCACCAACCAGCAATTCATTGATCAATCTGAAGATGAAGAATCAACAGGTTTTCAAGAATCTTCACCTCCGTTCATCGATTTCAGTTAAGGGAAAGGTTGTAGGAAACCAAGCCATGTAAAGGATTGATATGAATATGGTAGCCGTAGAGACGACTCGGACATGTGGGATTAATGGGGACAGCCAAAACTAGGACAGACCAGGGACCCTATGGCAAGTAGAGTTATAACATGTTATAACTTCATTGGGTACCCTCTGGTAATTTAACATAGCTATTGAAAATGGTGATTTATAGTGGATTTTCCCATTGAAAATGGTGATTTTCCATAGCTATGTTAGTTTACCAAAGGGTAATACAAACGGATATGGTCACACAAGCAGGATCCCCCGCCGTGGGCTTCCCTTGCACAAGGCCCCACGGATGCCTCGTGGACACCGTAGTGGTTGTAGGACTCGAAGTAGTACTCCGCCGAAGTCGCCTGGTGAAGAGCCAGAAAAACATATCGGATCATGTCACAGACTATCCGTGTCTTCTGCATGTTGAGATAGCTATCGATTTTACCATCTGGTTATGACATTCACAGTTCGCCGTGGAAAATCCCAACCATCAATGGAGGTTTCTAGCTGGGAAAATCATCTATTTTATGGGCCATGGCTTCCATGGCTATGTTAAATAACCAGAGGGTACCTACATGAATGGGTGATCCTGGAATAATTGAATATAGGGGGTAAATGTGAGCATCCAAAAAGCACAATAAAACGATATAAGACGGTATAGGATGTTGGGATATCTGAACTGGTTGAGATTCCGCACATTTCGCCGAGAAAATCGCCGGCTCCGTTTATGGTGGGCCTTCAGATTCATTTTTGGCCAATCCTTCCAAAAGTCCTGGCAGTGTTCAGGCAGTGTGATTAGGATTCCCGTGGTTATTGCAGTCCCTGCTTGGATACAAAGCCCACTTAGTAAGTGGTTTATAAACCATATATACATGTAATTAGGGATATTCCATGTATAACTAGGCTATACATACTATGGCTACGAACCATTTGCCAACTGGAATACGCCAAGGATGTGCAATAGACATTCCAAATCGAGAGGTGAATATCCTGATGGTTTCAGAACCACTTATACTCGCTTTATCACCATTCTTCTTTCATTCCGATCCGCAACTGATGGAATGAATCGTCTTTGTTCCATGTTGTTCCCCAAACAAACGGAAAAACGGAACAGAAAACAGGGCATAACAAAACCAACGACAAAGCTGACGTTCTCTTCGCCTCAACTAGCCATGGGAAAATCCCGCCTGTATATTGGTCAGTGGAAAAACCTCCACAAGATTATCAAGTCTGAGAACTCAGCAAGTAGATGTAAAAAAACATGTTGAACATACTAGAGCCCCAGTTACATATGGAATATCTTAGATACATTATATAATTATATACTGCATTTCGAAATTAATGTATATATGTGACTGATAAACATGACTTATCACTGGAGGTTTTTGAAATTGCTCGTTGTCATATGAAGCCGCGTATGCTTGTCCTCTGCCATGGCTTTAGGCGCCACACAGGCGCTGTAGCCGCCACATGGGGAGGACATGGCAAAAGATCCCGATCTTAAAGTGTGCAGTTGGGTAGCAGTATGGAAAACATACAAAAATGGGGCGTGATCAATCAAAATCTGGGACTATAATTGATAGCAGTGCAAAGACATAGATCAGCAGAAATGTGAGTCCGCGTAGTTCAATGAACCAAACAAATGGAGTAATCAATCAAGACTTTGAACTATCAAGAGTCCGCACAAGTTTCCCTAACAAAAAATATGATCAATCCATCTAACGAATCTGGAACCTAACCATGGCTGTTAGTTTTACTAAAGCAACGACTCGCCAGCAGGACATGCTGGCACCATGCTAACTTCGTCCTGTAGCTTGGAGCCCACCCGCTTCGGCCCCTCAACTGGTCTCAACATGAAACATGACCAAACTTGGAGCATTTTATGGGAAAGGCAATTGTCACCATGAATGAAAAAATCAAACTAGACCTGGGCTTAAGTTCCACGGTTCGACGTCCAAAGACAAGAAGCAGAAGCTATCAAAAGCTGCTCAGATGCTGCCAGAATTCGCTAATTAAGTCGTTCGTGATTGAGCTATATCCCTTGCCCATCCTTGCTACATCCCAGTTTTTAGGGCTGAAATCAGCTTTCCTTCCTAACCACGAATTGCTAGCAACATCTACGTGGCCCAACTATTCTGAACCACACCATCTCCTGATCTAGAGGCCCCTCATTCCAAAGCAGATAGCAAGGGGCATCCACGAAGCACGAGGCATAACTTGTCGTGTTTTCAACCCTGCTGAAAATACAATGTGTTTTTGGGGGAAATTCTGGGGATTAAAGCACATATTAGCACTCCAAATATATGCTGTTTACCACCAAGCAAATACGTTGATGGCGAAAGTATCGACCACATATCACAGTCATTCGGATGTGTTCCGTAGAAATAGGTGAAGTTTCACTTCTGATCCATTTCCTACCAAACTTCCTCTTTCGCCGTTGTTGTTTTCTTCGTCGAGCCGACACGAATTCGACACGTCTTTTGCTCAGTGTCCAATCTCCGCAGCCACTTTGAGAGGTTCACCCCCCTTGCTTCGCAAGGGGGGTTCCTCCTTGCGCTGCGCGAGATTTTTTTGCGCCGTCAGGCAGCCGCTTTCACGTCCTTCGGCCCGCCTTCGGCTGGCATCTCTTCACCAGGCCCTTTGTACTGGTAATGTGCACCTTGGTTGGTCAAGTTGAGCCTCCTGGATGCTGTGGTGCTGCCGAAGGAAAGGTGGGAAAGGTGAGAAAGGCGAAATGCCAAGCCCTGTGTCCATATTGTTGGCAATGTCACCAAAATGTTTGGGTAGATTTCCCTTTGTAGAAGCCATGCATGTTGTGAACCGACCACCAAGTTCTTCAAGTCACATTGAGTTGGGTAATGTTAGTATATAGCATATATACAACAAAAAAACACGTATACCACTATATTCCCATGAAAATCCAATGATATGCACTTATAAAATCCATCAACAAAAAAGTGTTTATCATGCGTCCGATCTTTTCAGGTAAACCAAATCACTGATTATATATATATATATAATTATATGTTATAATATATATATATTATATATAATTATAGATATTATATATATATATATCATCCTTAGATCCTCCACTAAATCCCCATGAAACTTCCATTCTTAGCATTTTCCAAGCCTCCCGTTACGCCCGGTCCTGCGTTGCATGAAGATGCCGTCCACCTTGGCGGCCCTGCAGATCTCCAAGGCCTGCTGCTTCTCCGCATAGTCCGCGTAGACGAAGCCCAAGGGCCAGCCGTGGATCGGATTCGCCGGCACGATGATGCGGAAGGGCTTCTCATACCTACTAAAGGTGGTGGTTAATAGTGGGTTAATAGTGGTTAATAATGGTTGATAGTGGGATAATAGTGGGATAATAGTGGTTAATAGTGGTTAATAGTGGTTAATAGTGGTTAATAGTGGTTAGTGGGATAATAATGGTTAATAGTGGGATAATAATGGGATACCATCTGGTTATGACATGACTAACAGTTCGCGATGGAAAGATCCACCATGCTATTAAGAACGGTAAACCCAGGTAAACCATCTATTTCTATGGGCCATCTATACCATGGCTATGTTAAATAACCAGAGGGTATAGTGTGTGGTGCCCCAGTTCGTTGGTTAGCGAAGTTGGTGCACATAACTGTGCCAATGATGTTTATAACTACCATATGGCCCATGTCACTATGGTTTATGGCAGATATAACATGATATAACGAACTAGTTCATGGATGTTAATGGGGGTTCTTACCCAACAATTATAATTGGGGGGCACCATCCTGTACCTCCGTGTGTGGTGCTGGGGGATGTTGGGCCCCATGGGCTTTATGGGTCTATGGTGATCGAACTGGTTATCTAACTACGGGCTTATCAGAGAAATCATGATGCATAAAATATCATAAAATTATGTGGTGACTTACTGACTTGCGAAATTCTTGGGGGTATATGTGGTGGGGTATATCACCAAGATGATCCAACCAATGGTTGGATTTAAGGGAAGACGATCCTGGCTCATGTCTGAGACATCCCAGTGATGTAACGTGCCAAGTCCAAGTATTTACAAAATGATTTCAAAATGATACAAAATGTATGTGTATATATATATACATATTATACATATACTTTAGATACAGACTGATACAGACCATATTTTCTAGCTGTTCAACTTTTCAACCACTATTTGGGGGTTGCTATAATTACATAGATCAATAGATGCAAGCACCAAGACTTGAGAAATCGCACCACCAGCACTTGAAACCGCTGTGGGAGGATGCGGGTACGGAATGTTGAACGAACATGATGGAATGGTATGGAATGTTACCCTCCGGTAAACTAACATAACTATGGAAAATCACCATGCTATTAATGGGAAAATCCACTATTTCTATGGCCATTTTCGGTACAGTATCTCACTACCTCAAGTAGTTCAGAGACTGGGGATCGTGAACTAGTCTGGAACATCCAGCCAAAGTACACACAACCCCATGTGCCCACTGCTGTGTCCTAGTCATTCTCGGACGAGCATATCTATGCTATTGGTTGCAACCATATATTGTTGGTCAAAGTCTCCCTTAAAAATATGCCCTATTACAGAGTGTATGTATATACATATACATATACATATACATATACATATACATATACATATACATATACATTTACATATACATATACATATATATGTATATACATATATTACATATACATATACATATACATATACATATACGTATACATGTAAATATACATATACATATACATATTAATACATATACATATAAATAAATATACATATTATACATATACATATACATATACATATACATATACATATACATATTAATATATACATATACATATACATCTACGCATACGCATACGCATGGCATACATATACATATACATATATACATGTTTAAATATATCCCTAAAATTGAGGTGAACGAACCCACTGACCAACTGGGGTGAAGAACCAAAGTATGGATGATTGTCCGAGTGAAAGCTGCCACATCACAGTACCCATTTTTAACATGACAACACACATTTTGCTTGTGGAAGACAACTTCCTGATACTGGGCTTGGAAAAGAGCATGTCTCTCCTCTAAAACAAGCATGATTCAGAGCTATCCAGTTGATTTTGCGAGCACGTCCTAAGAGTTGAATGAATGTTGATTTCTGGTGACATCATCATGTTTGACAGCACATTTAAAACTATCAAGTTAAAACAAGTTAAGCGTCTTAAGATGAATAAAAAAACTCACACCATAGTTTACGCACCCATCTTCTTTTTCAGGTTTTCAGGTGACTTAAAAAAATGGGGATTACCATGAATCAAAACCTATGAAAAATGACCATCAAAACCTGTGGGAATTTTGGCATCCCAGATGATCCCAGATCCCCAGATGATCGACTTTGGGTACCATATGCTGCTGCCGAGGAACTGCAGCTTCGCGAAGAACTTCACCTAAAGTGGCGCCCCAAAAATGGGGGGTTTCAACCATGGCTTTCAACGGCCTTTTTTTTTGTGGTTTTCACGGCCAAAAATGGGGCGCTTATATCACCAAAACGGGTTTTCTGCATCAAAAATGATGTTTCAACACCACAATGCTTGTTTTACCCTCCAGAAGCGGTGTTTAACCATGAAAATGGAATCTAACAACCATTAAAGATTGAGCTTTCAACATGTTTCAACAGGATATGAAGGTCGAATGGATATGCCTTCCTGTAATCTCACCAATCCCTGTTTATTGATGACCTACCTGTTGAAATGTTGAATTCACACTGCCATGTCTGTCTATGAAAGGTTAGTATACATATAAATCTGGCTGGTGGTTCCAACCCGTCCAAAAAATATGAGTCAAATGCAGGTAACAATCTTGTAGGCACAGAGAACATGGAACAAATGCTTCGAGGGACACGGAAGAAACCAATCTCACCACCAAAATTTGGTGACGGCAACCCCACAATGGGGTAGATAGAGGGTTGGCATGTAACAGAGTAGTAAACCCACTAATAAACTTCCCTTTCATCCTCCGTCAATTTAACATGGCTATCGAGAATCACCATTTTAATAGGTAAATCATTCTACAAATGGGCCATGCCTTCCATAGCTATGTTAAAAATTACCAGATGGTATATAGCTGCTTGCGGATATCAGCACGTTTGGGTTTATAGATGAGGGTTTACCACTGTTTTCTTCCCAGCAGGTGGGAAGCACCAACAAACATCGGTTGGTTGTTTCAAGTCAATTTTGATCATCATTCCATTTGGGAGCCAGGAAACTATGAATAAAAGAACTACAATGTGGGGCCCCCGTTCGATAGCTAAGTTGGTGAACATAACTCCAATTTCACTATGGTTTATAATACTTATAACTTTATAACTATAGTATTCATGGGGTGAATCTAAACCAACGTTCACATCACTGGGGGTGCCCCACAAGTTATCAATTTAGGATCTAAGATATTCATATAGATATTCGAAACTAGCAACCAGGGAGTGGTTATATGAGTTATATTAAAATTAGTCTATTTGCTCTAAAATAACATCCATGTGATATTTGGAGCTATACCCCAATCACCAAATCATAGCTATATATCCATATATATATACTAGCATGCATATCACAAATGTGTATTAAAACAAATATTTCACCTAAAGTTCTCATATACTTTAGGGTGTTTTCCATTCCCACTGCAAACACACCCAAACTAAAAAAAACATCAAAGTCCCACTTGTTGAAATGCTGTTGATGATATACCATTGATCACAAAATGCTTGGTGAATATATCTACGGTAACTACATTTAAAAAAAAAAAAACGAACTGGTATTTCATCCTACCTCCGGCGCATATTTACGGTCTGGCCCGCCCTCCACATATCAAAAAATGTCGTCAATTACCCTACTTCAAATAAATAGGTGGTACTGTAGCCAAATTGTGACATCCTGACATCCACTTTATTTTATGGTCATATTTTACCCAGTTTGATGTTTCTCTCACGTTTTTTTTCCACATTGGTCAGAAGCGTCTGTCCCGAAGTCTCCCATGAAATTCATCAAATCAGCAATTTGTCATGCGCAGAACTCACCTCGAACTCACCAACAAAAATCACCATGTTTCACCCACAAAAATCACCGATTTTCACGGTGAAATCACCCTTTTTGCTCATGCTTAGAGTATCTGACAGTAGAGATTCTCCAGTCGCGTTCCAAGTGACCACGGCAGTTTCCAGCTCCTCGGTGTAGATGAGCATCGGAAGACAATCCACGCGCACGCGATAGACCGCGTGCAGCGGCGAGGGAGGTAACGGGAACTCCACCAGGCCGCGGAAACGCTTCTGTTGGACCCACCTCTAGGGAGCTCGGGAGCTCTGGGGATCTGGGGATCTGAAAAATCAGAAGAAAAGGGATGGGATAAGGTAGGGAAACATCACCGGTTTATGGGATAATGATGGGATAATCATAGTATCCATATAATTATACCATAATATAGTATGATTAATCATAGTATCCATATGTATCCATATTAATATCCAAATGGTGATCTATATTAATCATAGTACATATCCATATTATCCATAATCAGATGGTGGATCACTATTATTGTATGGATAATGGTAGATAATTAATCATAAGTAATCACCAGAATGAGATACTTCATTGGAGCAATCTGGATCTGGATGGTTTACCCTCTGATAACATCAATGGCCATTCCAGGAACCTAAATTGGAGGTACCTACCATATATAAGGCCTATATAAGGCCTATGTAAGGGAATATCCCCACAAAATATGGCCTTACATGGTACAGTACCTCCATTTTAGGATCCTGAAATTCCCATTGATGTAATGTTGCACACCCACCTCGGTGGAAGTCCAATGAAGTCCGATGAGTTTTTCTAAGGGAAGATTGGGACAGCAGAACGTTTCCGTAGCTCTGTCGTGATATGGAATATGGAATATACCCTCTGGTAATTTAACAAAAGTATGGAAAATCACCATTTATAAAATTCATAGTGAATTTTCCCATGAAAAATTGTGATTTTCCATAGTTGTGTTAGTTTACCAGAGGGTAGGTAGCCGTTGAATAACCGGTCGATATCACGGGATAATCTATCATATGGTTGGAAACTCTGTTCGTAGCTCCGGCTCGCCATAAAAAACCATTGAATATGGATACCTCTACCCTCCCAACCACTGGATGTTCGGCTAAAAATTATGATGTTATTTTTGTTGGGGAAGTTGTTGGGGTGCTTCATGTGTTTACAAAAGATGAGGTCATTCCAATCATGTTTACCATCCCCAATGGGGTGGAATTTGGTAGGTATACCATGGTTTTGTCCACTATTTGGGATGTAAAACAACTCCTGGGACATCCTGGGACGATTTCAATGAGTCCAGAGTCCAATAAAAAGTTGAGATGACATAAATGGGAATGGCACAGTTCGCCAAACTCAACAAAAATTGGGATTTTGTGTGAAATTGAAAAGTTGGTGAAACACGTAGCACTACCTTTTTCTTTTAGATCTTTTATATGGGTGTGTCTGAAAATAGTGTACCCCTAAACCCAATGGTTTTGCTGATCATTATCCCTATTTTTTATGGCTATTAACTATGGGAATATACCCTATTTTCAGACACACCCATATAGTGTTATTGCTTCAAATTCCAATTTATAGGAACCATCCTAGTCATGTTTGCTGGTGGCTCTGAGTTGTTGCCGTCGAAAAACCAGGAGCCTCTGGTCATGTGAATTTTCCATGGCCCGCTGGGAAATCCCAAAAAAAATGGAGCTTTAAATGGGAAAATCATCTTCGAAATGAAGGAAAATCTCCAGCAAGCCATGTTCTTGTGCTGTTTTTGTGCCATGCACTTTTCAATCAAAAAAAAGCCTTCTGAGGTGCAAGAAGCACTTCAAAGTCTCTGTGCACTGGGAATAACATCTTCCAAGCACACTTGTTGAGGGTATTCTGTCTCAAGAAATACGTGGACACTGGTGCTTAGGGTTGCTACCGAGACAGAACCTGTCATGAAGGTTGAAAGTGTGGATCCACAAACGTCCAGAAATCCTCAAAACAGGTCCCTTCAGAAGCGTGGGGCAGATGAAAAATCACAAAATGTCTGCTGATATGGAGGCTGGTGTCCAACTCATTAAATTATCATTGGGCCTACAATTGCCTCAAAAAACAGTTACGAGTTTCCCCCCAAAGGAGGCTCTTAGCTTTGGAAAATCATCCCAAAAAATGCTGAGATCCATCGAAGCCACTTGTGGATGTAGTCCTGCATTACTTGACTGGAACCGCTGAAACAATCCTGGCTCGGAAATCGTAGCCGTCGTAGCGATAGGTTTGATGCAACGGGCCCCAAGGGGTCGATCACAACACTAACTGCTGATTGCTGGAGTTCAATCCATCTATATAACATTTTAATGGGATCTAATGGGAATTTTAATGGGAATTTATGGTGGTTTAATTGGATCTAATGGGTTTAAACGTTTACGTAACTATGGAAAATCACCATGCTATTAATGGGTAAATCCACTGTTTCCATGGGCCATTTTATAGCTATCGCAAACTGTGAATGTTTACCAGAGATCACAACACTAATTGCTGATTGGGGTTCAATCAATCCATCTGAAAAATACAGAACCATCGGAGATCATCATCCCATGCCATTTCTGGTTGGTGGTTTTTCGCCCTACCCCTCTGAAAGATGATGGACTTCGTCAGTTGGGATGATTATTCCATTTCCAACTGAATGGAAAGTCATTCAAAATTCCATGGTTCCAAACCACCAACCAGTATTGAAAATTGAAAACGTAGTTGAAACCATCAACGAGAATGTATCTATATCCACCCACTTTCAGATTTCGCTGCCACAAACATTTCAGCAAAGCTGAGACCCGTCGGATGTATCACAGGCGGCGAAAAGCACCAAGGGAATGATCGGAATCGAACTGTGGGGGTGGATATGGCTATAAATCTGCTTTAAAGATAGGATCAATGGATTGGTTGAAGGGAAAATCTTAACCGGAAACCCATGGGTTTTTACCATCAAATATAGAAGGTTCCTGTAAATTTTCCCATCATCCAATTCTATGATAGGAATTTCTCTGATTTTTTGGAGAAAATATGCCATCTCCTATGGCATATATGAATGTTTATGATCATTTTGCCAACTGAAACATAACATCATAGCAACTGTTCATCATTTGGCATATCTCCCCCATTTTTAGGCACACCTATGTGAGCTAGGCATGGATCATATATATATATACATATATATATATACATACACCCTTTTGAGGTTCAGGGTTTAGAATGGACCGTTCAAATCCTCCATGTTTGTTGCTTCAATTCCCATGCTTCTTGGTAGAACCCGCTAAAAATCTGTATTACTTAATTCCTTCAAATATTCTCCAAATCCTCTGAGAGAATCAAACCTCATCCCCGCTTCCACTTGAAGTTGCTTTCTTGGTAGTTCCTCCCGGTCCCCATTTTGGTTCATGGATTCTCCATATCATCCTTAGAATTCTTCATTGGCACCCTTTGCATCCCCATGCATTGTAAATCCATCTGCACCCCATCCGACCCCATCCATCACCCACCACACACAAAGACTTGGATCTGCCTCCATTTATACTCTGGTATATCACTATTTCATGACTCATTCATCCCTATGTTTGTTGCTAAAAACGGTCCATCTACTACTACTCAACATCCCCTCCATTCCATCCCATAGTTTCTCATTGACTCATCTTAAATGTAAATTCTGAACTAGCATTTGGTTAGAACCATCCTCGTAGCTCCTTAGCTCCCCCTTTAAAGGGCTATATGGGTACCCCTGGCTCCTTAGCTCCCTCCCAACCAACAGCCAGTGAATCATATATCTTTATCGTCCACCCAATCTTTTTTCCATACTTTTTTCCATGGTAAACCCATGAACAATCTACCAATCGATTTTTTCATCGCGCCTCGTTGTTGATGTTCTTCATTTCCGGATCCGCACCAAACGTCAACAGCACTTCCACCATCCAGCGGTCGTCGCTGCGGGCCGCCAACCTCGGTTTTCACCATCCAACAAAATGACATGGTGGTTGACCTTTCAAGTAAACTGACATGGAGGTTTCCCAAAATAGGGGTACCCCAAAATCATCCATGTTGATAGGATTTTCACTTATAAATCATCTATTTGGGAATACCGCCATAGCTATGGAAACCTCCACATAGCTATGGAAAATCACCCCTCTTCATCGGTAATGTAGATCAACTATGAAACATGTTCAATGCCTATGTCCACTTTTCAATCATCGGAGTGTATCCAGTAAAAATAATAACCAACCAAACATGGGCATTCTGTATAGAGATTCTGATCCTGCCGATGAAGGCCGGTCAAGATCGATCTTGACATTGCTTAGGATCAGTAGGATCTCAGCTTGGGTCTTCACCAACTGGAAGAGTGGTTGAATTCTCAAGGTGAAAAAAAAACCTAATCTGATTGACTAAAGATTGGAATTGCGGCAAGTTTCAAAGATGTTGATGCTGAAATCACTACCTCGATTAGTTGTAGATCACATTGTGTCAAAAAAACAGCAATCTTGGCTCAGAAAAGCCTGATCTTGTTGGCAATGTCATCAACTGGATATATTTACCATGGCTTTTCGAAGTCCCAAGTCTCAGACTTGGGACTTCGAAAAGCCATGGTAAATATATCCAGCCTGGTTGAAATCCCTTGGTGCCAGTTGAAATGTCTTGAAATCCCTAATCTTGTTGGTTGATCCTATGGTCGGGTTTCTTGATTTTGATTTTTTGCTACGATGGATTCTTCGGACAGGCTGTTCTTAGACCTCATAACTCCCTGTTCTTCTTGAAATCCCAAACCCCTATCAGACCTATCAGTTACAGACCTTAGGTCCTATTGTTGGAATATAACAACAGTAACAGTCTGAATTCATATAGTGTTGCTTGAAATCCCTAAATCCATTTTCGTGATAGATCAATATGATGGAATTATATACAAAAATGTCACAATCCATTCACAAATCCCTAATCTTGCTGGTTCTTTTTTTCTGACCGATTTTGTGATTTGGGTGAGAAACTCTTAGATTTACCCATTTCATAGGTTTCAGAGGGAATCCTTCACCGAATAGTGGATCGAAGCCTCGAAATGTAATTTACAAATATGGAGGGTCATGCTCTCTCCAAATATGCTAGGTATCATATGGTTTCACCCATCTCCATGTCATTAAAAACTTCCGAAAAACAGTGATTCCATGTCAGCTGAGCCGCCCAAAATGATCAGAATGATCATCAGCGTCTATCATCGTCTATCATCGTCTATCATGTTTCCCATTGAAAAAGCCTCAAGCCATACCCTCTGGTAGTACAACATAGATATTGGAACAGGTGAAAATGGCCCATTCACTTGGAGGATTTACCTCTGAATTTGATGGTGATTATCCAGTTCGCAAACTGTTAGTCAGCACCAGAGGGTATCATTATTTACTCTCCGTGAACATCCATTGTCATTTTCATTCTTCCATGATTCGTTGCTTGGATCTCCCTATGTTTGATGGTTTACCACCATGATATCCCATTAAGCCACCATTAAAGTAGCAGCAAAGGATATATCATGTATCCAACTATATCCAGTTCTATTCCCATTATATCTCAATTATATCTCAATTAATATGCCCTATATTTATCAACATAAATTGGTATAATAAAGTATTATAGGCACTTTTTTCGGGATGATATCAGTATATATATATAATATATATATACCCTCTGGTAAACTAACATAACTATGGAAAATCACCATTTTTTGTGGGTAAATCCACTATAAATGGGCAATTTTCAATAGCTATGTTAGTTTACCAGAGGGTACATGGGGGATCCCTCAAAGTGCCTATGTCGTGATAACTTCCCCATGTCGTTCGCCAAGGCGATCCAAGGCGCATCAGTGCAGAGTTCCCCTCCAAGTCCGGTGCGTTCACATCCGCCTCCAATTCCAGCAGGAGCGTCATGGTGTCCAGACCTAAAAAGGGTGGACTGGAGGCCGAGGGTCCAAGGGTCCTGGAAGATCTCCAGAGTGTTGGTGGATGTTTGGTGGAGATTACTTAGCTTTATGGGCATAGAATGATAGAATGGATAACCATCATGGATAAGATTATGGATGCAATTGCAAGGTTCAACAATCATGGCTAGTTTTATCTATGAAATCACAGGACGACACCTACTACCTAACAGGTTATAGCCCATAGGTAAATGGGTACCCTCCACATATGATGGGGTAAAGCTATAGATGCTATAGCATATATGACTAGCTAAGGTGTGTATAACACTCTGGTGTTTATATATATATATATATCCCATTCTAGCTCCAGTACACTAAGATAGCTATGGTATAGATGGGCCATTTAGTTTGATGTTGGTTTTCCATTGCTATGTTACTCTTAAGGGTGTATCTCACCATGACAAAAAAAACCCATGAAAATTCCGTAATTAATGGTCCTGCTACAAAAAGTCTATAGGGTGGGCCCCCTAGAGAGGTTCATGGGCTTTATAGGCCAACTTGGCCAACTTATCACTGCCATCTCACCCAAACATGAGAGCTACCCATGAAATTTGTTGCCATCATTAAAGGTTTTTTTTACAAAAACCCATACATTGTTGTCAGTTTAGTATCTATCCTTGATTTTGATCCGGGATAGTTAGATCAACACCAGGTTTTTCGCTTCAACCCCATTCAGCTGGTTGAATCTTCAAGTCAAAAATCTCCGCCAAACAAAACGGCACGGGGTGATCCACCGGAAGACCTAAAGATTTAGATCGCTAGAACCACGGAATTTCCTGTAACTGTCAACCCCGGATGAATTGCTAAACCATGGTTTATGAGGTTTATTAGGGGGGTACGTACCCCCAAATAGTCATTTCATATCATCTGATACTTTTTGATGGTATCCCCCCAATGAAACAACCGCAAACGGGGTTGACATTAATCCAGGCTTGACATTAACAGTTCTATCCCATTCAATATGAATCACTATTAATCACTATTACACCATTATTAACACATTATTAACCCACTATAAATGTCCCTTCCAACCCAGTGATTTCTGGTTGAATCCAACAAATGTTCCTGAAAAAAAATCCTGATCCGACAGATCCTCATCTAAATTCATCAAAGAAATCCCCCAATTTTTTCTAGCCATGAAATCCCCATTTTCTCCCCAAAAAGTAAGAAATCCATAGAAATCCCCAAATTCTGGCCATGAAATCATATGAAATCCCCCGTTTTTCGATGGTTTCACCATCCTGAGCCCAGCCACGTTTGGAGAGGGCACCGATGTGCACCGGGAGCCTTCCCTTGGCATCAGCCGTGGTGAAGCGCTCCGGTCCACCTGCAATGGGCACCTCCTTCGGTGCGCTGCTGGGTGCCTGCAGCAGGTGGTTGGAAGAAAATTTCACCCAAGATGGGGGGATTTAAGTAAGACATGTGGGATTGATATGGATTTCTATGGATTTCTAGAGGTTTTCTGTTTGATACTGGCGCTATATACTTGATTTATGATGGCTAAGATGGTTTATAAGTAGGTGACACAAATGGGAATTTATATGGATTGATAAGGATTTCAATCGCAGATAGGGGGATTTTACAATTGGAAATCGGGATTTGATCGTCAGAAATTGGGGGATTTGACCATTGAAAATTAGTGATCTAAGGAACATTTTGTTCCGGGTGTAAAGGGATTTCTAGTTGATATAGTTGATTTTTGATGGTCCATTTTTGGTGTATAAGTGGGCACAAATCGCTGTGTATGTAATATATATATATATATATATGTGTATACATGGATTCATAAGTATTTATAGTTGATGTATGTTGATTTATGATAGCTCTGAGATGGTAAACAGCTCACGTTCGGTGAATTCTGTCGTTGATGGTGATTATGACTATAGTTAGGTGGGTTCATAAAACCACAAACTAACGTAACTAACGTGGTTTTACTTGGGGAAAACCACCTTGGTTTAGGGTTTGTGTGAGAGAATCTCGGGTGCATCTAATGGTGTAAAATCTTACATTTCTCTAGATAATGGCTATAACTTGGTGTACTGCACGATTTTTCGACTGTCTAAAAAATAGGGTGCTGAAAATTTTAGAGGAAATCCCTAAATTTGATGGTTCATCACCACTTTCCGTGTTCAGATTGCCATGTGGGGATATGCCAAATTAGCCATTGGCACATCCATATGTTGGTGGAATAGAATGTAGGGGTCTAGTTTGGGATTTAATACCCAAAACATATATACATGTAAGAACAAAACTCCGTAAAGGGGGAATATGTTTCAAAAGTCTGTATTCTATCTACTTCAGGATGGTTGACGGGATATAGTCAATAGTACAAATTTGAAATTATGTTGTTTAGCAAATTTGGAAAGACTTCTCCAACAACAAACGGGTGCGAGAATTTTTCTCTCCAATTATCTTGGAATATGATGGGAGACTTATGCGTGATCCATGTTCAACCGCCAACATGGGATTTAAACCTTTACTTCTATTAGTTTTAAGTGTTTCCAAAGATATAAGATTTTCTCTAGGATGGAACCAATATGGGATATATCATAGTTGATGGGATGGGATATACCGGGAAACATGTATAGAATATACGTGTACATACATACTGTTACATACATATACATTACATTACATTACATTACATTACATTACATTACATTATGTGAGCTTATTTGCACGCTCCCGCTTGTGTCCAAGTCCGCACGCACGCGCGCGCGCGTGCGCGAGTCAACAGGCGCGCCTGTCTTTGCTCGTGCTTCTCGAGCGTGCACATGTGAAATGCTCGCGCGCTCGCGCTGCGCACCCCACGGCTGGTGAGGCACCATATATGAACTCATTTGTTTTGAATCAAGCCAAAATATAACCTCATCTGGTTACTTTGGACTTCCATTGGCTTTTGGAATCTGATGGGACCTGACCCAACCATGTTTCAAGGATGCCATCAACGAGATGCATAGTTTGGCAAGTTCATTTGGTTTATGGATATTGTGGAAAATAGTATATTTTGAATTTTGAACCAGCAATTGTGGGATATAAGAGACATAACCAACGATGGTGTGTACAGGGGTGTTTCCAAAAGTGTGATATTAACCAATCATACCAATATGGGAGGGGTTAACCGACTAAAATTATATGACCAGATATGACTAGCAAAACTCGTATGGCACTCATTGATGAAAAAAACAATGGTTGGCAATCGATGTTGAGAAACACTCTTTTGCAGTAGGTGGGGTGAAGATGACAACAAGTAATTAATCTAAATATATCTAAATCACGAGTTGCTACTTCATCATGGTCAGATTCGGACGTATGGGAATCTATGATCAAAAATGGGATGGTCTGCTAAAAATGTTGGATGGCTTACACCGAAAGCCATGGAAAGCCATGTGACTCGGACACCGATCGTTTCGCACCAGCCAGCCATAGGGCCATAGGGGATGATCGTACCACAATAGGATGGTTTACTCCAGTCATCTGATTGTCAATGTAGATACAAAAAATAATAATAATAAGCGAGAAACTCCCCTACTGCTTGGACAAGTTGGACAAGTTGTGAAATAATTCAATGTTGGGGATATTAAATCTGTCCAGGCGAATCGCTGTTTTTTATTATTCTACGGCAAACGTGGCCTTGAGGTCCAAAAAAATGTCTCAACACCGATGATTCAAGCAACCAAATCCTGGGCTTTTCCTGACACGTTTCCTGACACGACTTTTTCTCACTCCAGGTGAAGCTCGTCAGGTAAAACATATTCATACAGGCATCCTCCTGTCAGACCTTCGGTCACCGTGCTCACATACAACGATCTGTCCTGGACCAGAACTGCAGAAGGGGACAATCCATCTGGACATTCCAGGACTTCCGTGAAAGTTGCTTCACCTGGCCGCATGGCCAGCACCTTTCTCTGACCTTGGTCTGCGATGTAGATTGTTCCAGCTTCAGTTACGAACAGGTCCTGCAGGTCGGCTCCCTGCTCTGGGACGTGTCCCACCACAACAGGTTTGAAGGACACAGCAGGATTGAAGCGTAGAATGCGGGCGTTGTGATTATCAAGGATATAGATCACCTCTTCCTTGGTCACAAACATGGCTTTGGGCATGAACTCCGTGTCTGCCGTAAGGCTTTCCGAGGTCATGACTGTCTGGAAGCTCGAGCCCACCAACTTCTGCAGGGCATCGGTCAGCACGTACAGCACTCCGTTCGACGAGCAACACATGACATCGTATTCCCCAAAATCATCAAGCACCAAGAGTCCAGATCCGTTTTGAAAACTAACCACTCTGTCATTGTCAGAATCACCCACGAAGATCTCTCCAGTGGCCGAGATGGCAAGCTCACAACAGTTCCCCAGGTCATTGATTCCAGTGACTTCCACACCTTCACCCACAACTCGTCGCATGTCGGCTACCAAATCACCAGGTTTCCAGTAAAGGATGTTACCGCTGTAGTCGGCGGCATAAATGGCACCTTCGTGCCAGCACAAGGAATTGCAGATCACAGGCAACACGGCTCTCCCTGGAGCTTTGGTGCTGGCACCCAGATCTGGTGACCAATGTTTTAAACAACGCCTCTTTGGCTGGAAATCAGGTGAACTTTGGGCTCTTTTTTGGCCCCGAACTCGCAAAGCTTCATTGACTTCACGTTGCAGGTCGTCACCAGTTGGACCCGATAGGGTAATGCGGCCTAGGCGGAGCAAGTTGTCTACAGAAACCGATTGAAAATCCACGTGCTGCAGCAGCATGGCCAGTAAAGCATATCTGTCCTTGGAGACTTTGAGCCAGTGAAATAAGCCCTTCAACACCGCTTCCTCCCGAGACACGATCAAATCTTCTCGTTTGAGAATTCGGGCCAGTTGACCAGAACTGAGCTTTCCAAAGTCTGGATGCTGGCTGCAAGTCTCAAAATTGTCAGCGACCCTCTCTTCACACGCAGCCTTCAAAGTATGCAGGCCGTGCGCTTCTTTCAAGATTTGCAAGGCAGAAGGGCTGTCCAAGGAAGCACGGAAGCCTGCCTCAATCGCACTTGCTAACTTTGGCAAGTTGTACGCCTCGGCCAGTCGTAGGAGCTCAAGACCAGCCTCAAGGTTCACCTCAGGCTGCCCACCATAGATATAGTCAAGCAAAGCGGAGACCGCTGCTTTAGAAGCAGAGATTTCGACTGGCTGTCCTCTTTGCACCTGGTCTGCTTCAAGAAAGGATCCACTCAGCAAATTCTTGAAAAACACGCTGGCAGCAGATAGCACAACAGCGTGGGCACGATGCTCCGCGCCATCATTGCTCTTCAGCACAACGTCACAACGATGGTCTTCCATCCAGAATTCTCGAAACTGCTGCAGGATGCCCAGTGAATGCTCACCCAGATCCGAGTGTTTAAGCTTTACCGCTGCCATGGCGCCAATTCGACGGCTGTCCCACCAAAAGAGTTGGAAACGGGGTAGCTGTCACTTGCTGTCTTTGAATTTCTTGCTTGATAGGTGTGCTGGGGACCTAAGGAAGGAACGACCAGCACCACATCGCATGCCAAAAAGTTGCGTCGGGGTGAAGATACTAGACAAAAATGCTAATGATTCATTGGCCCTCAATTAACTGAGAATTTTTCGCGGGCCAAAAACAATGGCCATGGCGTGATTTGAGCTGTGCTTTTTTTTAGGCTTGGGAAATGGTGCTGTGTCGCAATGGCTGTGGATCATCCATACAAAACGATTTGAAGGAACAATAAAAACAACAGCATGACATTTACCCTCTGGTAAACGTTTACAGAACTATGGAAAATCACCATGCTATTAATGGGTAAATCCACTATAATTCAATGGCCATGTTATAGCTATCGCAAACTGTTTATTGACCAGGCCGGGTAACGATAAGCAACATGATGCAATTGGTTTCACCACAACTGCACTGGCACATGGGGCTCTGACTATTGGTATGTACGAATGTTCAGTGGTAAACCGCTCTCCCAAAATGGACCCTTCTCCATAAATCTTCTTGTTGGTTTCCACCCAGCTCCCAAAGAAATGATCCTCACAACTGGCTCAATCCAAAACTCCCCCGAAAACAAGTGGCTCATCAACAATCAACGATAGAATTTACATCAATTTACCCTAATCTCATCTATCCAAACTAGTGGCTGGCGAAGTGATTGGTTGATCCCAATGGCCCCTGTTTCATCCGGAACCTGGGATTCCCCAAGGTGGGCGGAACCAATCACGACCCCTTGGGGTCCGGGTCTGGGATGTCCAGTTGTGGTTGATATCTCTGAAAAGGGACTTAGAGTCAAACTATATTTTTACCATGCGATATTAATGCAGCCGCCACCCGTATTTTATAGACATATGGGGAACACATAAAACGAAAAAAAACTCCTGGTGTTCATGCAAGAAATGCAGGATGATACTGGAGATATCATCCTACGATTGCCGTTTGATGCAACGATACCCTCTGGTAATTCAGCTCGTAACCGTGGAAAATGGATCATGGATGATCATGGCATCATGGTTTACAGATGATTTACCCTCCTGTAAACGTGCACTAATGTGGAACACCCACTGTCATGTAGATCAATTTCCGAACGGGAAACCATGGGTTTTCCACATGTAAACGTTTACCCTGGGGTACCTATATTTAGAATGGCCATGGCAAGACGTTATGTCCAGGCCGGGCCTTGATCATCGGCCAGGTGGTTGTTCCTTCCTCCACCTTTTGCGCGGTGAAAAATGAGGTTTAACACGGTTCAACAGTTTTACCCATAGTATGCCTCCGTCTTTGCTAAATTTTAGCATGTTTTCAATGCAAAGTCTCTGTATAGGTTAAGTTAAATGTCGAAAAAATATGCAGCTGACCCTGCAGAAACTCTACCTTTGTAGAGTCCTTCTGTTCTGAACCGAGTTTTGAGCCGTTCACCGAAATGGCTGGGATAAATCCACCCTGGTGGTATGTTCACCCATTCTCTGAGGGTTGTGCATCAGTAGATGTAAAGAAACTGGTTGGTGGTTTTTCGCCTACCCTCTGTTTATGACTAACAGTTCGCCATGGTATAGATGGCCCATTTATAGATGGTTTGCCTATTAAAAATTGTGATTTTCCATGGCTATGCTAAATAACCAGATGGTACCCCTCTGAAAAATATGAGTCAGTTGGGATGATGAAATTCCCAACTGAATGGAAAGTCATAAAATTCCATGGTTCCAGTCACCACCAACCAGGAAAAGTCCAAGAAGTGACTTTGATAATTTCACCAAGCCCTTCTTAGCGGATCCCTTAGCGGGTCCAACCACTGTTTTCCAAGGTTTCAGGCGGCCCAGGTCAAACATCAAGGCATGGTATCAGTGGAATCACAGTGGTACAGCAGCATGGTATCGCTGCAATGATCACATGAAACTGAGTCTGGTTGGTGGTCTTAACCATCTTGAAAAATATTATTAGTCAGTGGGAAGGATTATCCCATATATTATGGAAATAAAAAATGTTCCAAACCACCAACCAGGAGTGGATGTGAAAATACGGGGGAGGGATTGGGATGGGAAATCGCACCATGATTGCATCAGAAATCGCACCGAATCTGGGAGGTTGACACCAAAAAAAAATTATCAAAAGCACCATCGAAGAACATGTTGCCCAGAAGTCATGTGTATTTATATACATATAAAGTATCCCCTTGCAGTCATAATTAAACTAGATAAATCCAAAATCAAAAAAAGATAACAAAAAAGAAATGATTGTTATGAATCATTATTCATCATCTTCAATTAGATGATTATAATCACCATTTATTGGGGTTGCTCCCAACACCCCAGATACATGAGGGAAAAACTGGGTAGATGAAGAGGTAAAATGACAAATTGTCCGCCCTTGCGGCCGTCATTTGCTTATGATGGATTCGCGCAATCCAGTTTATTAGGGAGTTCACAATCATGATTTGATTGGTGATACGAATAAAAAAGTAAAATAAACCATCATTAGATTGTTATCCTTAAGGATGGTTAATAATAATGGTAATATCCTCTAGTTTTAATAACCCATCATTAGATGATTAGCGATATGTGTGATTATCATCGAATGGTTATCTTTAACTATTATGATAGTAATTATTATCCTTCATTATTATCTTAAAGATGGTCATTGTCATATATTGTCATCCTTAGAGGTACACAGTAAACAAAAACAATCTCAGCAAAATGGAGTAGCCATTGAATAGTGATACATCCTTATTCATATCATTCTTTGATACATCCATTTGGAGCTTTCCGAAAAATTGGGGGTACCCTAGGCCCTAAATCATCCATTTCATGTTCGGAATTTCCATGAAATAAACCATCCAGCTATTGGGGTATCCTTTGTGGAAAACATCCAGCCATGGGGGTTTCATCCATGACCTTTGATGATTTTTTCGGTTACCTCAAGTGCCCGGTGCCCCCCAGTTTTGTGAATGTTGGTTTATAAACCCCATGAATACTATAGTTATAAGTACTATAAACCATAGTGAAATTGGAGTTATGTGCACCAACTTAGCTATCTTGGGGGCCCCACATTGTAATTCTAATTCATAGTTCGCTATATCTACCATAAACCATAGGAGTCAGCAACATGTTTTAGGCAACTGAACGCGATTTCGAACGCCGGCCCCATCATAATCACTATCATACTCACTGTTATCCCATGAATGACCACTATTATCACCATTAATGATAGGGAGTAATGACCACTATTATCACCATTGCTCACTATTATCAACTTTTAATCACGATTAACCCCTATTAACCACTATTAATCACTATTAACCACTAGTAATCACTATAAATCACTATGAATCACTATCATACTCACTATTATCCCATGAATCACTATAAGGCAACCATAATTCCACCACGCTGCCGACCTGGCCCGACCTGGACCATCTCGTCCACCTCGACCTGCTGTACGGCCTGGACGATCTCAGGTGGTGCAGCGACGGTCTTGGCCTTGCCGCCCTTCCTGAATCGGAAAGCAAGCACGGCAGGAGTATGCAGCAGTATCTATCTATCTATCTATCTATCTATGCAATTATATATAATATATATATACATACATTACATGTATATGTATATATATATCGATAAATATACATAAAGTTTGACATGGTATCTAAACTATCAAGACATAGATCTATGACTACAGAAAAACACTGGAAAAAATCCTTCTAGGTCACTGGAATTTCATGTTTCTATCCCAGCTATAAACTTCCATGGCTCGTTCGGGGAAGACTCCCAGCGGCGCGCCATGTTGAATTGCCAGGCCGCGAACCGCAGTAATACTCTTGATATTAATACTAGCAATCTACTGATAGTAATAACACTATAGATATTGAGTAAACCACCAGATGTTCCATTAATTATCCATTAGTTATCCCATCTACATATCTATTACTGCAGTAAATCACTGAAGTGTTCCCTATTAATTGTGATTAACTTGATTAGTCGACTATATTGCGATATTTAAATAGGGATCTACAGTAATCAACTTCTATGTATATACAAAGTTATATTTATATATATATACATTAGTATCAGCAAATCACTGTGAACATCAGTAAGTCACTATTCATAGTCCATATCTAGTCATGCTGGAGTAGATAGAATGTGGCAGTGTCAAACATCTTCACTGAAGCTGAAACTATTTGGGAACTACTATATCTACTAATTATATATCCAAGACAATCCATCATGGATGAACTGATAGTAATTACTGCTATAGTAGTACTAATCACTATACCTACTTAACTACTATAGATATTCCATATCTTACAGTACTATTTGTGCTAATTTTCACATCATTATTTATCGGTTAGTTACTATTATATAATATGCCATAGCTATTTACACTTGATTATTTGATCATTATACATATGCCATTCAAGTCCCATGAAAATCCCATTCAAGTCCCATTAAAATCCCATGAAGATCCCATGAAATCCCCTATAAATCCCATGAATTATCCCGGTAAAATATTATATATATATATATATAGCTAGAAATATAGTTGCTTACATTATGAATTACATTTGATTACTATTTCTATCGATCTTCAGTAATTAAGTCACATCCCATCCATATTCCATAGCTATTTGTAGTTGATTACCATTTGATTACCATTAATCGATCTTCAGTAAATGTCACATTTGATTACCACTGATTACCGTTTCTTTCGCCGTTTTAACATTTGATTACTATAAATCTATCTATTACCATTAGCTCTTAGTCTCATTTGATGATTATCCCAGTAAAAAGAACATGAAAATCCCCAACAGAATCCCGGCGATCCCGGCTCCGTTTCTATAAAATCCGTTATAAACAAACCGGATTATCATGATTTTACCATTTGATTACTATCTCATTACATCACTATATCATGAAAAAAAAATACATACATATATCAATTCTTTGCTGGTTGGTGGTTTGAACCCCTCTGAAAAATATGAGTTCGTCAGTTGGGATCATGACATTCCCGACTGAATGGAAAGTCATAAAATTCACGTTCCAAACCACCAACCAAATATTAGTATTCCAGGCACGATAGACTAACTATGAATATTAAGAGTATTTGATATTGATATTGAGCTATTAGCCATCAATAAATCATATATCAATTCTTGATCTCTGGTAATGGAAAATCACCATTTTTAAATGGAAAATTAACTATTTCCATGGCCATTTTCAATAGCTATGTTGATATAACCAGATTTCCATAATAGTTAATGTTTATTAATGGGTAAAATCACCATTTTTAATGGCTAAATCAACTATTTCTATAGCCATTTTCAAGTTCGCAAACTGTTAGTTTACCAGGCCGGGTATCTCTTACCATTGTAAGTCCTCTTACATCCTGGTCACATTAGCTCTTCGTCTCATAGAAGTTGATTATCCAATAGCAAACTGTTGACATACCCTCTGGTAAACTAAAATAACTATTGAAAATCACCATGTTTAATGGGAAAACTCACTATTTCTATGGCCATTTTCAATAGCTTTTTGTATGTTTACCAGAGGGTAACCAGAGGGTATTTCTATCCCATGGCCGGAGATTTCGCCTCTTCTTCTTCTTCTCGTCCTCCTTCACGGCCCGCTCCAGCTCCGCCTGCAGCGCCGCCTTCTCCGCGGCCTCGCGCTCCGCCTCCAAAAGGGCACGTGTCGGTGGCGTCGTTGTTGTTTTTACCGGTCGGAAAATTTGGAAAATTTGGAAAAATGCCATGTTTATAGGGTTTGAATGGGACAATTATGGGAAAAATGCCATGTTTGAAAGGTTTTCATGGGAAATGGCTGGGAATATCATGAGAAATATGATGGAAAATGGCAGTTTCATGGGGGTTTTCAAAGTGAATCTCATGGGAATGAGATGGTATCATTCATTATGATATGCTGTTTTCATGGGAAGATGGTCTTAGTGAAGTGAAGATATGATTTTTTGGATATGGGATAATTATGATTATTGAGGATTATTGAGGTGGAGTTATTGCTACAATGATGACAGAATATGAAAGAATTAGAATGATAGGACCCGCAGGAAATAGCCATGTCCATGGGAAAAATATTGAAAACTTTTGAAAACTGATGTCTCAAAGCATGGGAAAAATGTGGGGGTCTTCCGACATTTTCAGATTTTTTTTTTAGAGTTGGCCAACACATGGGTCAGGTCAAAGAAATCCAGGATTCACACTGCCATCAACCATCCCCAATTGGCTATCATAAATCGTCCCGAGTAGGGTATGGTCTATATTGGTCTATTGCGGATACCAAAAAGTGTTGGAGATGGCGACAAATTTGGAAACATGGAAACGTCTTCAATGAAGGTGGTCGCTGAAAAATGTTGCTTCTGTATGGGTCAGACTGATTTAATCAGATTGAAATGAAGACTCGAGCTAAAATTGTCAAGACCGTGTAAAATAATTTACTAAAACCATTGTAATTTAAATATATTTAAATGATTTATTTACATGGTTTACCATAGACCTATTCAAAACCACAATGTAAATAATCAATGGTAGAACGGCTCAATTTTGTTGTAGGGCTAACATGATCTAACATGAGGGATCCTTGAAGTAGGTTTGATGAACTAACTCATGGCTAGTTGAGCGATTCTTACTCAACGAATATAGATCAGATAGGGCTGAAAATGCTTGAAAATAGATAGTGGCTACTAGTGGCTACCCCTACTAGGAGTCCTGTTGCTGATTCCTGCTACTGAAAAATCACTGGGGATTGATGCTGGGGATTGATGGCATCTTTTAGGCATCCTCTTCTTGCTTGAGGTTTCCCTTAAAAACTTAGATTCCTCTCCAGCCGGAAGGTCTGTGAGAATAGCCGGCCCCAAAAACCCCAAAAAAAATCTGGCTGAAACTATTCCCCATGGCAGGTGAAGGTTACCATCAGCTGAAAAGATCTGAAAAGATGGTCAAATCACAGCTTCGAATGGTTATACCACTATCACTATCACTATCAACTTAAAAAAAATATACTGGTTTAGTCCAATGTGCTTGGAGCTTGTAGCGCACACCCCTTTTTCATCCTTTTTCCGCAAAAAAAAAACATCCATTCTGGGCATTTCTCCCTGAATGGCAGTGTCAAAAATCTATCGGACAATCGTTTGAAGGGATTCGGATCGGCCCTCATCTATAAATAGTATTGAATAGTATAGTAGCATAACCATACATAAGCCCCTATAGAACAACCTGCCATAATTTCTGGATTTTATAATTTCCCATTCACTCATCAGCAACTTGAATCCACATGTGTTTCATGGAAGGACGTCAATCCCTATCAAAAAAATGACCGTTGAACGAAGTGTAACTCCTCATGATTTTCCATCTCTTTCCACCCTGGATTCCATGATTTTCACTTCGGGATGACATGTTCCATCATTTGCCAGGATTGATTTCTATTCCATCCCTTTTTCCATGGTTTTTCCCATGGTTTTCCCCAAAAATCCAGGCTTTTCCCAGGGTGAATTCCCAGCGCGTCGCGCCTTCAGGGCCTCGTCCCGTTTCCGCTTCTCCCACGCGGCGCGCTC